TATATATATATATAACAGATACACACATATATATATTCACTTGGAATTGTCATGAATTTTTCTTTTTGTTGGATTCTCCCCCTTTGTGTTTAATTTCCTGTCATGCCCAATGGATTCATTTTGCTGGGATTCCTGGGGTTTTGGTCCTCATTTTTTTTTACCAAGGATATTGTCTGAAATTTTTTGGAGTGCTGGTTTGTTATTCATGAATGTCCTAAGGTGCTCTTTTTCAAGCAAGTATCTTATTTCAATTTTGTAAGATTATTTTTTGCAGGGTATTTCAATATGGTTTGGTGATTGGTTTCATTTAGGGCTTGGAATACATTACTCCAAGCTCTTGTATTGAGGGTTTCCATTGAGAAGTCTGTTGTCATTCTGATGGGGTTTCCTTTGTATATTATTTGTTTCTTTTCTCCTACTACTTGTAAAACTTTGTTCTTCTGTTGGGTTTCTGGAATCTTAACAATTATATGCCTATGTGTAGATTTAAGTGAACGAGGCTACTTGCAGTCCTATATGCCTCACTTATTTGTATGTCAAGTTCTTTTGCCCTGCTTGGGAAATTTTCTGCCATTGCTTCTGTGAATTTTTTTTTATGTCATTTGTACTCTCTTCTGCCTCTTCACTGAGTTTGATTAATCCTACGTTATTTGTCTTTGGGTTGTGTAGCAGCTAGTGGATTGACTTCTCACGACCCCTTATAATTGTAAAGCAGTTTTTTTTTTCCTGGTCACTAATTGAAATCCTCTCTTCTATATCTGATATTCTGTCCTCACATTGGCTCATTCTGCTGTGTAGACTTTCAATGGAGTTTTTAATCTACCAGAAATCTGTTTGCATCTGTTTTATGGATTCCAGTTTTTTCCTATGTTTGGATTCCATCATGTTTCTCAGCTCCTATCTAGATTTATTTATCAAGTCTTGCACTATGGGCACAATCTCTCCTGTTATCTGATAAATTATTTTGGATTTCAGTTTTTGTAGATCCTCTTTTTTCACCAGTTAAGGGAGTCCAGGTGGTTGATTATCAGAGTATTCCATCTCATTTCCCTTTCGAGTTTCCTGTAGGTGATCTGGAAGTCTGGATTTGAGTCTTATTTATGTGTTTTCTCACTTTAATGTGGGTGGTTGCTGCTGGGGCCCAAGAGGCTCACCTCCTCTGTGCTGGGAGTGGTGGTATGTTGGTCCAGGAGCCTCCTCCTCTGTGCTTAGAGTGGGGTCATGTCCACCCCAAAGCCTCCTCTTCTGTGATACCTGCATTGGCATGTTTAGCCAGAAGCTTCCTTCCATGTGCTCAATATTCTTTATTTTTTATTTAAATGTATTTAAATATTAGAATTGAGAAAACTGTCACCAAACAGGGTCCAAGGAAGTCCATGAAGTGGAGATGGGGAGCCTTGACTCACCTCATCCACAGGACAGGTTGCACATTCAATATTTCCCTCACACAAAATAGAATTGTCAGTAAGACACAAAAAGGGATGTATTAATCAGAATTTAAAAGTATACAGTCATAGAAATGGACTGTCTGTCCTCAAAAGTAAGAGTGGCTGTTAAGGCCTAGAGGTATGTGTACATATATGGGGACTTCGGTGAGGATATCTGTGGAACATATGAATCTACAGAGTAAGGGGAATAGATGTGTAGAGGAAATGCCACGTCTTTCTCCTGGCCAGGGTGATAGAACATTCATCCCTACATATATCCATCACAGGTGATGGAGTTGTATCCTATCCATGGGGGGAGACTACTGGACAGTGGATTGTGTTTTGTGTGTACTCCCAAATGCTTCTGTGAGCAAATTCCTCAGAATGCCAAGCCGTTTTTCAGCATCAAGGGTGGGAGAATGGAAAACACTGAAATGAAACAAGGACAGCAGGGACATGGACAGAGTATTCAATATTTTCCTTGTGGGTATTCCATAGGCTGAGCTGTTCAGGGTGGAGTTTCCACCTATTTTCCAAGGCTGTGGGAGTGTGAGCAGCAACACTTGATTAGTTTTCAGAGTTGGTTGAGCTGAGATACTGGGAAAGCTGGTCAGTTACTTAAATATCACTCAGGTGGGTAGAGTCACCTGTATAGTAGGAGTATTGGTAGTAAAGTGTGCAACAGTAGAAAGGTACTTTTCCCGGGGCAACACCACATAAGGTAACCTGGAACAATGCCAAAGTAGCCTCAGGGTCACAATCATTTTCAGCAGCAAATACCCGAGGTATCTGTGGTCTGAATGGAACTACCAGGGTCTTCCTGCTGATATTCTTCCTAACAAGTGCCTCTTTGTTCCCAGTTGTTCTCAAACTCAAATGACAGAACAATTGCTGGTCTGTGCTTAGTTCTCTTCTTACACCATTGTGAATATCTGCTGTTCAAAATATTGCCACATGCTCACTTTACCTTAGCACTCTGCCTCAAATATTTTAGGGAAATCACTGTTTATTTGTTTTAGTCCTTTGTTTTAAGAGGAAGAAGTCTAAGCATTGTATGTTGGGGAGAAATTCTACACAATTTTGTGGAAAAATCATTTCACAATTAAATCTTCATTAGGGCCTAGATTTCCCACCTACAGGCCAGCTACAGCATGTCAAGACAAAACTCCATCTTCACCTCCAGTCACACCTAAAATGTCAATGGTCCAGTGGTGTCCTGATGCTTCCGGACAAGATTATACCATATGGAGTCATCCTGGGTGGAAGGAAATCTTCATCTGATTAGTTCCTCATGGTTCTAGGATTTTCACTGCTGTTGCCACCACCACTTCTGCCCCCTGAGTGACCTTTTACATTTGATACTTTCCTGATATACTGAATGCTGTCTGCCCTGAGTCATCTCTTGCATTTGTTTCTCCTGATGTCCAGAATAAAGGTGTGGCAAGCTCAGGGCTGTCATCTTTGCTGCCAAGAATAGCACTGATCAGGCCCAAGGCATAGCTTCTTTAAGTCTCATTTTTTCAATCTTTTCTGTCTAATAAACTAATTCACCTTGTGATTTCATGGAAAACTTATCTGCAGTGGTTCTAGTAATGTCCCCTTTCCCTGCTCCCTATGGTATACTCAGACATCCAGCTGATATCTTGAGAAAGGGAACAGTATATACTACTGAGAATTAAGAATTAGAATGTTACATATTTCTGTAAAAATATTATGAAACACTGAATAACACATTTTAAATTAGTAAAATGTACATATGTAAATTATACATGATCAAATTTCTTACAAAACTTTTCTTGAATCATGATATCCAAGAATTGCCTGTGATCAGTGTAATTACTGTATTTCTAGATCCATGTTACAAGATTGCAGGGACTGTCACTTTATATTTAACACTGCTCTTTCAGAATATCACTTACATAATACAGGTGACTGATGCTTGTTGCTTATTTACCCCCAAGGTAGCCAAGATCACTAAACCATAATAGAGAACTAAAATGCTCTCATAAAAACCTGTCATCATTTATATTTGTATTTTCTTTGTGCTGCCAGTACTCATGCTTATCCATTAGATATATGTACTTTGATCAGTACAAGTTATCTTTTAACTTTTGATTTTCTCCATAAATATAAACATGAGTAAAGATAGAAGATAGCACAATTTGAGAGCAATACTGGAATTTATGATGTCCATGAAATGGACCTCAGCTCTGCTGCTGCTACAAATGAGTTTTTATTTCAACTCTGGAAGTTGTGGAAAGGTGCTTGTATGGCCGATGGACTACAGCCACTGGATGAATATAAAGAATATACTAGAGGAACTTATCCAGAGGAGACATGAGGTGACAGTTCTGAGACCTTCAAGTTTCATTTTTGTTGATATTAATTCATCATCTGGAATTAAATTTGAAACTTTTACTACCTCTGCCAGTAGAGATGACTGGGAAAAATATTTCACTAAGTGGATCACTACATGGATGAATTTGGGGTCAATAAGTTCATGTTTTGCATATTTCCCAGAAGTAGAAAAAATTTTTAAAGAATTTTCTGATACTTGGCAAAATTTATGTAAAGAAACAGTCTCAAACAAGATACTTATGAATAAACTCCAAGAATCAAGATTTGATGTCCTTCTTGCAGATCCCATTGCTCCCTGTGGTGAGCTGGTGGCTGAGCTACTAAAAATACCTTTTGTGTACACTCTCCGGGCCTCTCCTGGTTTCCAACTGGAAAAATTTGGAGGAGGCCTTATACTTCCTCCTTCTTATGTACCTGTTGTAATGTCAGGACTAGGTGGTCAAATGACTTTCATGGAAAGGGTAAAAAACATGATATGTATGCTTTATTTTGACTTTTGGGTTGAAATGCTTAATGAGAAAAAGTGGAATCAGCTTTACAGTGAAGTTTTAGGTAAGTCATGCTGTTAATTATTAGAGTGAAGTCTTTACTATCTTGTACCTTTTCAAGTGAGCTTGGATGAGCATAAAATAAGAGGACTTTGTATTTTGTATGTACATGATGATGTAAAAAGTATAATCATTTGTCACTTGACAGATATAAAAGAAATATCTACATTATGTTGTCATATTGCAGCAATTTGCCTGTAATTCATATAGATCATTCCAGGAGTTCACACAATTCCACAGTGAAGCACTCAGGCTTCAAATTTGCAATTTCATATCAATTTCACCTTCTTTTTATTTTACAATAAAAGTCATTAGGCACCTCCCTAATATCTTTATGAATGAAGACAAATAGTTTGAAGAGTTACTCATGTTTCAAGCAAAACTATCTAATAGCATCGAGGGAACTGTTTTCTCATGAGGAGATCAGATTCCTTACCAGAAATAACTATTTTTTTCTTTTCTATCTGAAATATACCTTTACTTTTGTGAAATGTGCAGTGTTTTATCCGAGACTTAAAAAGTATAACTTGCATATTCCAATGATTCAACATCCTCTGATAAGTCCTTACCAATCATCCATTTTAAGTTTTAAAATTTGTAGAAATTTGGACATCCATGTAGTGTTTTTGATTATATTTTTCAATTTGAAAAAACAATGAGCTTAATCTCTGTTTCTGCAATTGCTACAGATTTTCCAAGAGATGATTCCTAATGCTTGCAAATGATAAGTACATATTATTAAGCTGCTGAAATAAACCAAAAGCAAGGGTAGTACAAAAAGTTGAGCCATAATCTTATAGATCTCACATGCCACTTGGGTCAGGTACCAGCTTTGTAAATGGTAGACATGAAGGAATTTCTGAAAAGCTGTTTCCAAAATTTTACTAGGATTACTTGACTCTGAAGCTGGAACATTTGTTTACGTTTGCATCTGTTATGTTGATAGCTTTAGAGAAACAGGAATAGATACTTAATTGTATAATAATTTTTGATGACTGCTTATTAATGTGAGTATACTGAAGTAATACTAGAGACATAGCCTCACCTCATTCTTACTCAAAGACACAATTGAGCCACAGATAAAACACAAAAATTTTATTGTTCATATGTCAATATATTTTGGTCAATGAACAGTCAACTCATACGTTATTCCTACATCTTTTAAAATATATGATATATTCACTCTACAGTTATGTAATTGCCCAGGTTTTACTCTTTTTTCTTCCTCCATTCAGGAAAACGCACTACAATATATGACACAACTGCAAAGGCAGAAATGTGGCTCATTCGAAGCTACTGGGATTTGGAATTCCCTCACCCTAGTTTACCAAATTTTGATTTTGTTGGAGGACTCCATTGCAAACCTGCCAAACCTCTACCTAAGGTAAATACAGTCCTGTATTTAGTTTTACTTTTAAATTTCTGTGGGAATGCTCTGCACTATTCATTGAGAGTCTTGACACACAGTGAGAAATATGTGGGAAACAGACAAGTATCTTGCAAATTGGAAACCAATATTTCTTTTGGGAATGACAGCACATCCATATAATCCCAGAACTCCAAAGGCTGAGGCAGAAGAACCACCTGTTCAACCATACCTGATCAGCATAGAAAATTCAAAGACAGCCTTGACTGTAGAGAAAGACTCTTTTTTTAAAAAAAGAAAACTTATAAATCTATTTCAGCAGAAGTATCTGCATTTCACTACCATTAGAAAAATATGGGATGATTAGGAGGTCCTCAGAATAGAGTCTATTAATTATGGTCCTCATTATTCCTCACTATCATTCATTTGTTCATTCAAAGTCTATAAAGTGACTAGTGTACATGGCCAGTAAGTGTAAAATAATCCTAGAAACAGTATAAACACAGTGTCCTCTCCTCTCACATATCTTGTATACTATTTTGAAAGATAGAGTATATTTAAGTAATAAAAGTTGTGTGAAGCATATCTTTAAAGGAAAGCATTGTATTACTAAGAAAACATTCAAAGGGGATTATAGAAACCGTGCCAGTAAAAGTAATAACAATGATGATAATAAACAAACAAGGTCCAAGAATATGTATGGGATGAGGGGTAGAGAAAAACACAAAACAGACACCAGTAAAGAGTGTAGGAACAATTCCCAAGAACTGCAAGCTTATTTTATGAGGATGCTAATTTTGCTAGATAGCTAATTTAGAACCAGATGACAGAGTGAAAAATATCTAATAAAATAATGTTTGACACCAAAAAACATTGACCCAAGGAAACAGATGATGTGATTTCCCTTTTTTAAATAAAATAAATCATTGAAGATGCCATTAGTGAATTAGATTGCAGAGATGCAGAATGGTAGAAATGGGAAGCATTTAGAAGGTAGTTGCAAGAGTTCAGGCAACACATGATGAAATGTAGACTAGGTACGCACACATGTCGAAAACCTACTCAGATAATCACAGTAGAAGTTCAAATTGACTGTTATGGAGATAAAACATAAAATAGCTAAAGGAAAGTATTTGTAGCATTTAGTAATTGTTTCAGAATTAATGGTTGTCTATTGATATCATTACTATCTTTTTATTACTTAATATTTGATAAAATAATCACATTAAATTTGAACTGAAAACCCAACAGTTTAAGATGATAATCTCATGTAAAGTCATAGTGAAAAGATCCTATTGATTTCTTTGAAAGTAAATGTGGAATTTCAGGCAATGAGATGAACAAGATCAAATGAGTAAATTTTATCAGAAGAACCGAAGTTCTTTGATAGTATTCTAGCTTACAAAAAAAAAGAGTATTGGTCAATAGCATACCTGTGAGGCCCCAGCAATATTTGTTTCCAACCCTAACTAACATCTCCATGCCTTGCTCATAGCATTGAAACCATTCCTCAATTCAGATCCTAGAGTTTTACATCTCAGTGTACAAAGGAATGGATTACTTTCTCAAAACAGGTATTTAATGCTGTATGCCAAGCCGGTAGGATACCTCAGTAAAGGTCCCTCCAGTGACATGCTCTTGGCATCAACATGACCTGGCAAAACAAGTGCAGAGTAATAGTGCACTGCTTAGGTATTAAACACTTCATAATTCCTGTGATTTGTTTGAAAATTGATTTACCGTGAACCACAAAATTATTCTGGCAGTATATACAATGATATTCATTAAGAACAAACACCATAGTTGTATATTTAAAATCGATGTCATACTTTTAAGAAATATATAGTAATGAGGCATTTTGTATTGTTTCAGGATATGTGATCTTTTTGCAAGTCCTTTTTGTTTACCTTCTTATTAGCAACAATATAAAACTGAAATATGAATATGTGGTTAAAATGCAATATCCTTTTTTTAATATGTGGTACCAGGGATTGAGCTCTGGACCTTGTGGTTGTGAGGCAGGGGCTGTACCACTGAGCTAAATCCGTCTCCCTCCAATGATGCAATTGTTTAGACTGCACAATAACTCCAGAAGTCCAATATTTGAGGCATTATTAGTGCATAACTAAGCAATATTGTCTATACATCTGAATTTCTTGATTAAAAAGCAACAGTGTTAGAAAGACCAGGAAATATCAGAAAAGGACAAAGAAATAATTCTAAAAATGGCAAAAATTACATAATTATAGCTGTTATTAAGTTGCACAAAATAGAATATTACAAAATTGGATCATCTTAACAAAATTTATACCATTTGTTATAAGTTGTTCATTGGAATATATGTGAAGAAAATCAATCAAGATGCACAAATCTATCTATTTAGTGATTATTTATTTTAAAAAAACCTTAAAAGTAACTTAAACCTCTACTTTTAGGGAATGATTAAATAATGAAATATGTGTCTGGTACAACATCTGAATTGTTTTCCTTAAAACTTGATAACACTAAATTAGCCATAATAGAAAGTAAGATTTATATATAGAATATATTTTATATATCAGCACTATAATTGTCTCACCAAAGATGTTTAATAACAAATCAGCCATAATAAGGTTATGAGATGAGAAGGATAATGTAAAGTAAATGAATAAATTCACTCTCTTTTTCTTGGGTAAACTGGAAACATAAATGAGAATCACAATTTTCTAAAGATTATCATATAATATAAATGAAATATAAAACTTTGATTTTATAAGAAATAATTGGAATATTGACTGCACAAAAATATTAACATTAGTAGTTTTATAGCTTGACCTGTAATTCTGAAGATATCACTTTGTCTTAAGTGTATTTTATCAGACCGTTTTAATAATTGCTGTTAATTCTTGATTTTATCATTTTCATTTTTGTAATTACAGTATTTTAAATAGTATTTACTGTGCTGTTGTTTTGTTTTTCTGAGTAAATGATTTGTAGGAAATGGAAGACTTTGTGCAGAGCTCTGGAGAACATGGTGTCGTGGTGTTTTCTCTGGGGTCCATGGTCAGCAACATGACAACAGAAAGGGCCAATATGATTGCCTCAGCCCTTGCACAGATTCCACAAAAGGTGGGCAAAGTATCTCAATGGCAAACATCCACTAAAGAAGTCATTAAGCCCTGCAAAGATCTGCTTTCAAAAAAGTGCTCATTTTTCCTATAGGGTTAGTGAAGGCACTGTATACATTAGCAATGTTTCAGAAAGAGTTAAATTTTATTTAAAAATGCAGTATCACAATAATATTAAGTGAGTATTGAAAGGGATTGGGAATAGATCATGCAGGTTAGGATTTCCTTGTTAGCTCCACTTTTTAATTTATCCTAATTTTGGAATAGACTTTGGTGTTTATTTTAGGGGGATATTGAGAGCAGAAAATAGCAACTGGAGCCAATTGAAGATCCATGAATCCTCTCATCCATGTTAATTAAAAAATGATGAAGACTAGCTGGAATGGGCACAATCCATATCTGAATCAGAAAGATGTAAAACATGGAATGGAGTTGTCTTCTTTCCTCACAGTGGAACCTGTGCATTGTAAAGTATGCTTCAGGAGGACTCTGCTTTTATCCCATCAGTTTAATGTCCCCCCAATCAAGAAAGCAAAAGGGAAAGAGTCAAAGTGAAAGCAGCCTGTCTTGGGAAGATGTTCAGATGCCTACGCTATAATATAAAACAGGGATTAATTTCCTACCATTTCTAATTCATCTTCGGTCTCTGAATAGTTGTGTACTACAGTAGATTTTATTTATTGTCAATACAACAGCTTTGTACTCCCCTATGCCAGCTTTCAGCTGGGGACCTGCAGTTGTTTTCAACACACCCACAGTAAATAGAGCTGAAATATTTGTAAGTGTTGGTCCAGTTTAAGAGAAGAACTTGGCATTTCCAAACCCAGTACCTTATTTTCAAACAGGGTAATGAAATTCTTAGGCTATGGCAAATAGTGTGAATTTAGGCTGAGATTATTTTGTATTGCGTCTTGGAAGAAAAAAGAACTAGATGAAGAAAATTTAAGCACATTAAAATATGAATTATTTTTGAAAAGCTACATACTTTATGAACTCCAAACTAGCTCTATTTTGTAAATTTAATTTATCATCCCAGCAGTGGCTTTAATACTATAGATTTTTGATCAGAATACCTGTTGAAACTTTTCTTATAATTAAGGATTAATTATTTTAATTCAAAACAATTTACATGCACTTCCTAAAATCAATTAAATGATTTCTGACAAAACCTGGTTGTGTAGATTCCACAATTTACACATCAGAAATGATATTTTATGCATCTAATTCTAATATGTTAACTTGTGCAAAAAATGATTAAAAATAAACTATAGTGATATCTTTTAAAAATAGGTCAGTATTAATATTGGAACTAGAGAGCTACTATTGTAAACATGTATGATAATGAAGATGCAATCCATTAGAAATTACTAATTCTTTGCCAATTTCTATATTTTGAAAATATTTAATATTTTAAATTATTTAAATGCTTTAATAGCAATGTCTAAAATATTTTAATTTAGCATGTAGTATCTTATTTGTCTATGTCACTCTGTGTGAAACATGATTATATTAAATATGATTAAATCTAAAACTAAGTATAGAATATGTTCTATTTGTGTTCTATTTGTCTGAGTATATTCATAGTTCTTAATGTTTAACCTCCTGTCCTCAGTTTTAGAATCTACATAGCAAAAGGCACTTACCTTGTTTGTGTCTAAATTCTACAATTCAACATATGATATAATGCAGTCTTCACCTAACAGGTTCTTTGGAGATTTGATGGCAAGAAACCAGATACCTTAGGACCCAACACTCGGTTGTACAAGTGGCTCCCTCAAAATGATCTACTTGGTAAGATACTGGAGAACAAATACTGCAAACCTAAATCAGTAAGAATGATGATAGCTCAAGATAGAGCAAACCAGGCAACATTTGTTGTTAGAAAATCAAAGCTAAAACCAAACTTCATTATATATATTTGCAATCTTGGGATAAGCAGAATGAATAGGAGTAGTTGATTTTTGTTGCCCATCGAAACAATATTAAGATTTCATTTTAAATCCCTTGCTCCTCAGAGAGGACATAATAATTTCCCGGGTTGGCTTGCACCTGTCTTTCCAGAGAAATGGGGGTTTATAAATATTAATCAAAATAACAATTGATTTATTATCAATGACTTTGTATTTCCAATGGGAAAGCATTCACACTTTTATGCTGACTTAATAATTCACTCTCTTTGGTCCCAGTGTCACATCTTGCTGACTTACACACTTTCACATCAGAAGTAGTGGATGAACTACCCTTTTAAGAAAACAAGTTCTGATAAACATGTGATCCTATTACTATGTCACTTGGTTTATTTAATCACAGTATATGTATTTTTCCTGGAAATCATGTATTCATTGTTACAGTTGTAAAGCATATCTGCTGGTAGCATTCACTTTCCTTTGGTTTCTTTATCTGAGACACAAAAGGAATGACATTGTACCAGGTGTGTTGCTGCATACCTGTAAACTCAGCTCTCAGGAGGCTGAGGCAGGAGGACTACTGTGACTGTCACTGTAGTTATACAGATGCAAATTCTTTATCCATAAGATGGACTCATATTGTACATTTCTCATTGTATTTTTAAAATTTATAACTAATTATTATGCTGATATTCACATAATCTTAGGTCATCCAAACACCAGAGCTTTTGTCACTCACGGTGGAGCCAATGGTATTTATGAGGCAATCTACCACGGAATCCCTATGGTGGGCATTCCTTTGTTTGCAGAACAACATGATAACATTGCTCACATGAAGGCTAAAGGAGCAGCTGTTAAAGTGGAATTCATAACATTATCAAGTACAGAATTGCTAAATGCACTGGACACAGTCCTTAACAACACTTCGTGAGTACAAAAAAATTTTTTTTTACAATCCATGTTCTACTTAGAGATAAGTTCTCACATGAAGGCCAAGGAAGTAGCCGAGTCTGAAATGAAAATAATGAAATACAAATTTTTTGAATGCTGAAGTCATCATTAGACACAAGGCTCCTGGTCATGATAAATTTTTTCACTGTTCTTATTTCAAATATTTGTGCAAGGTTTAGGCAGAGTGTAAAATGTTAAAATAGCCTGTAAATTGAATGAGAGGAATCATTGAGGATTTTCACAGAGGAATGACAAGTAACATAAAGGAAACAATGAAACAGGAACCATGAATGTGGTAAGGGTGTGATCCTTTCCATGTATCTATGAACTCAAAACAGAGATATGTATAAAAAGACAAGAAATAAGAGTCAGTACTGTATTGAAAGAAAACCATCTGTTTTATAGTTTTAATGATTGAACTACTGAAAATTTCAAAACTGCCTTCTGGTCAGTTCTGCAATCCGTAAGAAATTTACTCACACATGTAATATGAAACTTGACAAAGATTTTCCTTTTGGTCCATACTGTGGTACAGATTTGAACCTTGTATGGCAGGTCTATTAACAGGTTTTTACTGTATAGTACTAGTTGTAAGTCTCATGAATATGTCATATGTTTTTGTTAGTTTGTGTTTGTTTTACTTTGGGGCAAGAACTGATTTTAATCTCTAGATTAGAAATAACAGTGCTCCCTCAGCCTTTCTGTTCACATCTTTAAATCCGATATGTTTAAAAATTCTAAATTATTAAGTTTTCTAAAATGACTCCTGAAAAAACAATCTCTTTTAACATTTTTTTTGCATTCACATTTACCACTTCCAAAAATTCACATTCTACCATTTTGAAATAATTCTAACCTTATTTAATTTTCCTTCAGCTATAAGGAGAATGCTATGTGGTTGTCCACCATTCACCATGATCAGCCAGTGAAGCCCTTGGACCGAGCAGTCTTCTGGATTGAGTTTGTCATGCGCCACAAAGGGGCCAAGCACTTGCGGCCACTTGCCCAAAACCTCACCTGGTACCAGTACCACTCACTGGATGTGATTGGGTTCCTACTGGCTTGTGTGGCAACCGTTACTTTCCTTGTCATAAAAAGCTGCTTGTTTTGTTCTCAAAAGTTTGTGAAGAAGGGAAAGAAGCAAAAGAGAGAGTAGATCTCCTTTGGGTTTAATGCATTAGAAATGAGACCATTTCATTTACATTAACTACCATGGATCAAAACACAACAAAGATGATCCTCCATGATTTACAACACCTTTGCCTTTTTGATTTACCTATATAGTGTAATCTTGTTTAAGGAATATGTAATTCTGATTTCAGAGTTCCTATATTAATTCTATTTTACTGTTCACTTGTACTTTACCATAGATATTTTTAAAAATGAAACTCACTTAAACCTCATATGGGAAAACTTCCCAGGAGTGATTGATTAAACTGAGGGACAAAATGGCATAGTATCTGTGGTAAGTGAACAGTTAAAATATGAGGCAAAATTACCCCTAATAACTACATGGATAGGCAAAAGACACACAGTTTGGGTGAGATGACACAATTTAACAGTGTGATGAAAAGGACACAGGCTCTGTGAGGAATGAATTGTTAAATTTGGCAAAATCACACAGGCTGTGTGAGAGTCAAATGGGTAAACAACAAGAAGTTTAGATTTGTAAAGTATATTATGTCTGGATATGTCCTTCCCACTTCCCCAAGAAAAAGTGCTTAGCCTTGAGACAGCTCCTGGCCCAAACTGCTTTTCTTCTACTTTTTTCTCTAATATTGATATTCTAAATAAAACCCAGAGAGATCTTGGTTTAGTGGATTTGGGTGCTTGCAGTGCAGAAACAGCTCCTCTGACCCTCTCAGTAGATTGAACTTAGTCTCATCTGTAGGTAATCTTTTCATCCTTCATGCCACCAAAGGTCACACATGGCCACAAACTCTGTTGATTTATGAAAAGCATTATTGTATCATATTTTCAGAGACATTTTTCTATTCAAATAAAATGTAGTCCTCTTGACTTTTGTGTATGTCAAAGAATACCAGAGATAGAAATTAGATAACAGTAGTGAGACATTTTCTCAGAAAACTAAAGTAGGGGAGTGACAATTTAATATAAATGGAGCTCAATTTCTACTAACACAAATATGACAATTGTTTTCTTGGGCACAAGAAGAGACTTTGTGGAAGTGAAGAATGGAAACCAAAGGGAAATGTAGAAATATAGTGAAATGGAAAAATTATCATGGAAGAAAATACAAAAATTCTGAAAATGGCCTGCAAATGGGGTTAGACAAAGTACAGTTTGGAGTTTGGGAGAATCACATTTTCATTAGGAAAGAAGTAACAGAAAGAGTAAAATTACTTGTAGGTACATAATGAACAATTTAAGGCAGAGCAAAAGCACGGTGAATTTAGTAAATTTCATAGCAATTTGATAAGGCAAATATATTATAATATAGGAGAGTTAATAGTGCGAATCCCTTAAGAAACAGGAAATATTTCCTATGAAGTTTGAATTTGATTCACAAAGTTTTGTTTGTCCTAATTAGTTTCCTTTTCTGAAACTTTGTAACTTGGTCTTAGCCTAGATGAGAAGGATGAAAGAAGTTTTCAACATGAAGCCCTGAATAATCTCTAGCTTCTGTTTTTGTCTTAATGAATCATCTTCTGTAACTAATTAGTAAGACCAAAAAAATAATAAAAAACAGGGAATTTGTCACTTTAGGAATATTAGTTGAGGTTCTAAAAATTTAGTTTGGTGCCACTAGATTATATTACATTTTGCTCCTCCTCCAGTTGTATATCTAATTTCTCAGTCAAATGCTTCTAACACTTCAAGACATTGCATGATGAGGGGATAAAAAAATCAAAAATTCATGCCACTTTTGTGTTTATTTTTCTGTCCAAACACATGAAAAAAAACTCAAGATGGAACAAAGGGCCAAATATTGTGTGTGGCAATTTTAAACTCCTATCTTCTAGAAAGCAACATGAATTGCACAAAATTTTCCACATCTTGTCTTTAAATATATATAGTCATCATGTGTGGATTCACAAGGTACTGTGGAAAACATCTCACAGAAAATAAAGAAACCAATTGAAGAGCAGTTCTCTGCCAAAAAAAGAGACATGTTTCTACAGTTTGTTGGAAGATAGATCCAATTATCCTTTGGACATATGCAAATGACTTTTAAAACACTCATTTTTATAAATTACAATTAATTTTAATGAAATAAATTATGTTAAATTGTCAAGAAGAGGAAGTGATAGTCATATTCTTTTATTAAACTTTGGATATCTGACAAGTATAAACAGAAGAACACTTATGCATAAACATTATTCTGAACATTAATGATACTGTACATATACTACCTGATAGAAATTTTAACCTATTTATAATTTCTTCATGCAATACTCTCTGAAAATTAAATGATGATTTTTTTGTTAAACTACATCTTCCTGAAAATATTAGATAATAGAGATAGATGGATAATACTGATTCTTCATATATGGTAAAAAATATTTGATTGGCTTTAAAAATTTTTAAGTTTATTATACTGGTATATTTTATAATATATATCTATATGATGATAACATTCATAATGAATTTGTATAATTAAATGATGCATCCTCCTTCTTCTTTGATTCCCATTCCCCTCCTCTCCCTTCAACCCCTCTTTTCTTCCTTATTACAAAAGCTTTGTTTCCATTTTTTTCTTCTATTCTCTTTTTTTTCTTGTCCCTTCCTTCCTTTCCCTCCCTTGTGACTATCCCCATTTGAACATTTTCTTACCATTTCCCAATATCCATTATACATTTTGGTCTGTAGTTACCGTTTTGGATTTTTGCACCACAGAAACAATGCAGTATTTAAATATGTGTGTTCAATTTTTCTCACTTAAGAGTATGGTCTCAAGGTGCATCTACTTAGGTAGATATGTCTCAAACATATCCTTCTTTGTGCCAGTGTAGTACACCATTGTATAAAAAAAACCCACATCAGGCCCATCATTCCATCAGGGAGTCCAGATGCCAGTTATCAGCTGTGTGACCCAGAGCACTGTGGTGACAAGTGTATCCCAGCTGGGCCTCACAAAACACCAGAGGTTCTGGCACACACTCCCAGGCCAGGAGACTGCCCAGAGAGGACCTGCATGGCACTCAGACTTCAGCCAGAGTCATGTCATACTATTGACCACAGCCAGGTACCAGCCTGGAGATGAGCTACACAGGCACACAACCAATAACCAGAGGCCTGCACCAATACCATTGATAAATGTGAGGAGACCCTATCCAAAGCCTGTGTAGACAACAGAAACTGGGGTGCACAGTTCCCAAACAAAGGCCCTCCCAGACAATAGCTACGTAGGGGCAGCAGTGAGAGGTACACCTAAATACCATCCCAAGTGTGCTTGAGCCCCAGCCAGAAGCCTTCGCAGGCAACAGATCAACTCGAGGATCTAGAAGTCCACCACTCTGAAACCAGGAATTGGTGTACTGATGATCACCAGTGTAAAGGCTGCTCAGTGTCTGGCTAAGAATTCAAGATCACTGGGTGAGCAAATGGTCCCTTCAATAAAGACACAGCAGGCTGCATCTGTTGAAATAAGAAGACACATAAATAAGTTCCAAAACTTCCAAATCACATAAGGGAACCAAAAGGACTACCAGGAGGAACAATCTGATACTTAACAACCTGGACTAGCCTGAACTGGCAGCAAAAGGGGAACTGGAAAATATGGAATCAGAAAAAAATTCTCAGATAACAGCAGAGATTGTGCCCATAGTACAAGACATGATTAATACATCTACAGTGGACACAGATTTAAAAAAATAGAGCTAAGGAATATGATGGAATCCCAGCATAGGAAACAAATGGAATCCATAAAACAGATGCAAACAGAATTCCAAGATATTAAAAACTCCATTGAAAGTTTACTGAGCAGAATGAGCCAATGTTATTATAGAATTTCAGGTATAGAAGATAGGATTTCCATTAGTGAGCAGGAAAAGAAAAAAATTCTTAAAAATAGTAAGGGGCCATGAGAAATCAATCCAACAACTGCTAGACAATGCAAAGAAGAATAACATCAGAGTGATTGGAGTAAAGGAAGAAACAGGAGAGAGTACACATGACATAAAAAACTGTTCACAGAATTAATGGCAGAAAACTTTCCAAAGAGAGAAAAATACTTGACTGATGTAAGTGAGGCATACAGGATTCCAATTAGCCTTGATTAAAAAAAATCTACATATAGGGATGTAATTGTTAAGATTGCAGAAACCCAACAGAAGAACAAATTTCTACAAGCAGTTAGAGAAAAGAAACAAATCACATACAATGGAAAGCTCATCAGAATCATTGCAGACCACTCAACACAAACCCACAAAGCAAGAAGAGTATGGAGTGATATATTTCAACCATAAGGAAAACAACTTCCATCTCACATTCATGTATCCTGCAAAAGTACCTTTCAAAATTGATGAAGAAATAAGATTCTTTCCTGACAAAGAGCAGCTTAGGAACTTCATGAATACCAAACCAGCATTCCAAAAAATTTTAAACAGTATCCTAGGAAAAGACAATGAGGATCACAACACCAGGAAGCCCTGAAGAATGAATCCATCAGGCATGTCAAGAAATTAAATGCAAAGGGGGAGAATGCAATAAAAAGAAAGTCATGACAAGGAAAAGTCAATACATATCAATTATAAACATCAATGTTAATGGTCTCAATTCACCAAACAAAATAAATAGACTGGTAGAATGGGTCAAGAAGCAAGACCCAATAATGTGCTACATACCAGAAACACACTTAATTCAAAAAGAAATTTACAGACTGAAAGTTAAAGGGTGGAAAACAATTCTCCATATGAAAGTAACACCCCCAAAAAGCATGAGTAGCTATCCTCTTTGCAGATGAAGTGGATTTCAAACCAACACTGATTAAGAGAGACAAAGAAGGACACTACATCCTTGTAAAGGGAATAGTCCAAAAGGAAGTGATTACAATCATTAATATCTATTCATCAAACACTAGTGCACCCAAATATATAAAACAAATACTAATGGACATGAAAAATCTTATAATCTCTAATACAATAGTAGTTGTGGACCTTAGTACCACACTCTCACAAATAGATAAATCGACCAGACAATAAATAAACAAGTATATACTAGAACTCAAACTCTTGAACAAATGAACTTAACATGTTTACAGAGTTTTCCTCCACAAAAAAATCAGGATACACATTTTTCTCACCTGCACATGGGTTATTCTCTAAAATAGACCACATACTCACTCATAGAGCATGTTTAAGTAAGTGCAAAGGAATTGACTTTATCCCCTGCAAATTGTCAGACCATACTGTGATGAAATTGGAGATCAATAGCAAAAGAAAGTGCAAGAAGTTCATAAACACATGGAAACTGCACAACACAATTCTGAATAACCAATGTGTCACAGAGGAAGGTAACAAAATCAGACAGTTCCTACAACAAAATGACAATGCCAATTCAACATATCAGAATCTATGGCACACAATGAAAGCAGTCTTAAGAGAGAAATTCATAGCAGAGAATACTCACATTAGGAAAACAGAAGAAGCTCAATTATACAACTTGATGCTGATTCTTATGTTTGTAGAGAAGGAAGAGCAGGACAAACCCAAGGCCCATAGAAGGGAGGAAATTATAAAGATCAGGGCAGAAATCAATGAAGTGGAGACTAAGAGAGCAATACAAAACACCAATGAAGCCAAAAGTTGGTTCTTTGAAAGAATAAACAAAACTGACAAATCCTTAGCCAACCTTATAAAAAAAGGAAGGAAAAGGCCCAAATCCTTGCAATTAGCAATGAAAAGGATGACATTAAACAGACCCAGCAGAAATACAAAGGATCATCAATAACTAGTTGGAGAACCTATACACCAAAATGATGGAAAACACAGAAGAAATGAAGACCTAAAAATTCTAAATGACCCAATACCAATCGAAATTGAAAACATAATTAAAAA